TACTCCGGCGGCGGCGGCTACTCGGGCGGCGGCGGCTCCAGCTGCAGCGGGGGCTCCTCCGGGGGCAGCGGTTCTGGAAGCTGCGGAGGGGGCTCCGGTGGGGGTGTCAAATACACCGGCGGCGGCGGCTCCTCCGGCGGCTGCTTCTCCGGCGGCAGCTCCTCTGGCGGCGGCGGCTCCGGCTGCGGCGGCGGCTTCTCCGGGGGCAGCGGCGGCTGCGGCTACTCCGGCGGCGGCGGCTACTCCGGAGGCGGCGGCTCCGGATGCGGCGGCGGCTCCTCCGGCCAGGTGGTCCAATGCCAGAGCTACGGAGGCGTCTCTAGCGGAGGCTCAGGCTGTGGCGGTGGCTCCTCCGGAAGCGGATCCGGTTGCGGTGGCGGCTCCTCTGGCGGCAGCGGTGGCTGCGGCTACTCCGGCGGCGGCGGCTACTCCGGCGGCGGCGGCTACTCCGGCGGCGGCGGCTACTCCGGCGGCGGCGGCTACTCCGGCGGCGGCGGCTCCGGATGCGGCGGCGGCGGCTCCTCTGGCCAGGTGGTCCAATGCCAGAGCTACGGAGGCGTCTCTAGCGGAGGCTCAGGCTGTGGCGGTGGCTCCTCCGGAAGCGGATCCGGCTGCGGTGGCGGCTTCTCTGGCGGCAGCGGTGGCTGCGGTTACTCCGGCGGCGGCGGCTACTCCGGCGGTGGCGGCTCCGGCTGCGGCGGTGGCTCCTCCTCACAGCAGACCACCCAGACCCCGTGCGCGCCCCAGCAGAGCTACGGAGGGGGGTCGTCCGGCGGCGGCGGCTCGGGGGGCGGCAGCGGCTGCTTCTCCAGTGGCGGCGGCGGCTCCGGCTGCGGCGGCGGCTCCTCCGGAGGCGGCGTCTGCTACTCCAGCGGCGGCGGCGGCTCCGGCTGTGGAGGCGGTTCTTCTGGGGGCGGCGGCGGCTGCTTCTCCAGTGGCAGCGGTGGCTCCGGCTGCTTCTCCAGCGGCGGCGGGGGCTCCGGCTGCGGAGGCGGCTCCTCTGGCGGCAGCGGTGGCTGCGGGTCCTCCGGGAGCGGCTCCGGGAGTGGCAAGGGCGTGCCGGTTTGCCACCAGACCCAGCAGAAGCAGGCGCCCACCTGGCCCTGCAAATAGGTCCCGCAGGATGCCGCGGAGGCGAAGGAGCTGGAGGTGTTCTCCGTGGGCGCCGCTGGGCTTAGCGCTCTCATGATATTGCCCAAGGTTTCAGATCCTTCACGTCTTAATCCACCTGGAAGAAGCCATTGAGTTACAAGGTTATCCATGCAGCATTAGCAGGCTGCATCTTGTTTGCTGTTTTTGCGCCTTAGTTTCTGTACAACTACCTCCCAGCCCCAGTGCCTCAGTCAATAAATATGCAATTCATGAGAATCTCTGGGTCTCCAGGAGTTTTTGTAGCTTCCAAATTCATTCATTCCATGCCATTCTTCTCCTTTGCTGTCTCCAATCATCCATACTTTCATTCAACAATATACATACTCCATTGGCGGGAGGGAGAGTGGATAGATGGGAGTCAGCGGGAGAGGGCGGACTGGCTGGCAAACGATGATCAGAGATGTAAACACTCTGCTTAATGGCTTAGCCATTCAGTGGTCCCAAAACACAAAGATCCTGGGGAAAGATTTTTTTTTTCTTTTTTGAGTCAATCTCACTCTGTTGCCCAAGCTGGAGTGCAGTGGCACGCTCATGGCCACCACAGCCTCGACCTGCTGGGCTCAGGTGATCCTTCCTCCTCAGCCTTCCAATAGCTGGAACTACAGGCCCACGCCACCACACCCAGCTAATTTTTTGATTTACTGGGGAGATGCGGTCTCGCCAAGTTGCCCAGGCTGGTCTCGAGCCCCTGAGCTCAGGCAGTCCTCTCACCTCCGCCTCCCAAAGTGCTAGGACTGCAGATGTGAGTCACCACGCCTGGCTAGGAGATTTCAGTAAGCAGCCCTCAACGGATTGGGTCACCACCGTGGGTCTCCTCACTGACATCAATGCTTCTTAAAGAAAGACTGTCCTGGGAAGACGCTGTCCAGAGCTCACTCTTCGAGGTCTGAGAGCAAGGCAGCTGCACTTTAAAAGCATTAGCTTGGACTCACCGGAGAGAGAATAAGCATGCCAGATATTTATGAGCCTCTGCAATGTGTGAGATACTTTGCTAGGCACTGTGGGCACAGAGGAGCTGTTTCCTGCTCTTTTGAAGGAGGTTCATGAATCTTAGGAAAATACAGCATAAGTGTATGAGATAATATCAAAACCGGAGAGGTCACAGGAATACAAGAAGCTTTCTAATTAACAAAGAAAATGCTACAGTTGCTCCAAGGGATGTGTTGATTGCATAGCCCTCAAAAGCGATGCAGAACATCAGCCTTACCATGATTTTCCAGGTTCTGTTTCATAACCTGATTTTACCAGCTCTAAGCAAATGTCAGTTTATTGATTTACTCAAAGCAAAACTACTACTACACCAGAAAACCAAGGTATCATTCCTACCCAGTCTCTGCTAGAAAAAAAA